TTCCATCATTTCAAATTGTAGTTCAAAGGTGCATTGTAAAGCATGTAGCCACATGCTCCAAAGAAATTGGGGTCTGCAATTCATCTCTACTACTGGGTCCATACAATCTATTACAGTCAACAAACCCCCGGCGCTGGGGTTTGTGCTGGCTGATAGTGAGTTACTACAACCGCTAACTGCAGGTCTATCTTCCGGAGCCGCCGCCCACCCTCCTATCGGTGAAGTATTTTCCATTCTGCGGGAAGGCAATCTTCTGGTCTGAAAAGAGACGCCGATGTGGTAAGGCTTTAAATTGCATTTTTACTGATAGCGAGTAGGGGGCGACTCCTCTAGCTGTGAAAAGATGTCTGGTTGTATGAAAAAGTTATCCTACTTCTCATTTGCTTTATTGACATGACATTGCAAACATGTTTTTATGGTCTCCGTTTGCTAGTTTACAGTCTTCCTCAATACAGCATGATGTTCATTTCTAAAATGATGCTCCCATTTAGAGTAAAATAGACAATAAAGCTGGTTTCGGCTTAAGGAGCGGCTACCTTGGGATTGACAGGTCGCTACCACTGGGTTGTACACTCTGGGTGTCATCAGTGTTTTTGCCTTATATCTTGAACCCTTTCACATCGTGTTTTCAGCTCATGAAAGTTAATTGTCGTTCGGTTGATATTAGCTCCACTCTGTCGTGTCACGTCTGGTTGGGAAAAGCCAAGTGCCGACGGCAAAAAAATGAACTGAAGGCTTCAAAACGGCAGTTCACAAACTAATTGGTGATGTCAGTATATTATGTGGAAACTATGAATACCGAAATTTGTGCCAATACATCCAGAAGATGTTGAGTTATTTCACAGGATAAATAAAAACTCTACTGATGGAGCTAGAGGAAAGGTCAGGGAATCATCACAGTCATTATGCCTCATCCTCTGGGGACAGTGGATATCTCTACCAAATATCATAGTGATCCATTCGGTGGTAGTCGTCAAACTAAAGAAAAAGTAAAGGTCAGCGCTTCAACCTCAGTCATTATTTTATTTCAACTCATCTTTCTCTAGCTTAGTGTGCTGTCATGTTGTCAGAATGCTTTATATAATACACTATGAGACTCTATAGGAATACTTTTCTGTTGTTGGTGCAACCAAAACATTCAGATTAATCCTAGCCAGTATGGATTTATCAGTCATTTCTGTTTTCAAGGAACCCCAAGACCACTTTAATGAACAGTTCCCACTTCAGTGATTTAATACACTCTGCACCCCAGCATAGAGGTGTGAATGGACCTGAAGGACTCACTTCTCTGCTGTCCTGTTGACAATTTACTACTAGGGACAACTGAGAAGCCTGCCACAGCTTCATAGAGATTAATGGAGGCAGGAAATCATTAATCCCCTCCTTCCATTTTCGATCAGTACATAGCTGAAAGTCCCACACCAAGTGTTAAGAAGTATAGGGGGCAATCCAATCATATTTTCAATTATTTTGATTTGCAATGAAAAAGAATAGATGAGTTGAAAATTGCTGAAGGAGCCCCGCACATTTTTCCCAAAGTATGATGTATACTCACAGGCGCTTGTAAAATAAATTAATGACCACAAGGAAGATATAATTTCTTCCTTTTTTTTTCCTTTTCTTCCTTTTTTTTTTCCAAACAAAAAAGTTTGTTTGGAATTTTTTGAGATAGAAACACCTTTCACACTCGTTTTTCCCTTCACGTTCTTAAAATCTATGCAAAGTCCCCCCAGATAAAAACCATCAGTAGTATGTCTTCACCTCACACTCTACCTCCTGGGCAAAATAAGTCATGCTTGATGCTGTGAAATCAATAGCTTTTAACATCACTATATTTCAAGCTCAGGTACTGGACCAATAGCAGCTTGACGGAGCGTCCTTTTTGCTGACAACATAACCTGGGGAGAAAAAAGTTAGATTTTTCTACTCCCTGTAAAAAAGAGAGAAAAGAAGATGGCTAAATTATTAATGGCTTGTATTACAGATACAGGCCAGAACTCTCAAGGGAGAGAAGTTTTTCTTCCTGATACAGAACTGACATCGGCCTCACAACAGTTTGCATTCTTCTCATCTGCTGCAGCTTGCGGGGCTCCATTCAGCAGAGTTAGACATGACTGCCAAGGCTGCTGATGGACGGCTCAAATCTACACTGGCAGGTTATAGGCAGCATAACTGCAACTCACTTGCATAGTGCTGTTGTTGCACAGATTCATAACAAACGGGTCAACACTAAAGGTCAAGAGGTGTTTTAGGAACAGTCAAAAGAGTATAATGTTGTACTTACCGATTCCAATCAGGTCAACACTTATATGCAAATCATGACTTTTCTTAAACAACTTCTGTTCTTTCAAACCATGTGTTATGTTAATGAAAAGCTATTTAACAGGGCAACAGTTCTTTGCAAATACTGGTGAGCATGTTTCAAATACCCGTTTCATAGGGTGTTCCACAGGGTTACTTACTTGGTCCACTGCTTTTTATTTATTAAATGCTTCCGCTTGACAATGCGATGTATATTTTCCCAGCTATGCAGACGACACTCAACTGTACATACAGTATTGCTAGTGCCTGATGAGCTCAACAGTTTAAATTGTTTAAATTGTAGAATGTAGAATATTGTCAAATGGCTGACAGCGTTACACTCCGCTAGCACCTGCCCGATCAGTACTTCGCATGTGTAACTCTCAACAGGGATGAGAAAGACGAGCTATGGCTCAGTCCTTAGCTACTTCCATCATTTGGATGGGCTTGACCAATGGCTGGGAGGCGGAGTTAAAGGAAATGTGAGGGCCCTTTGCCCTATACGGGCCCCTGGATGTTGGAAGATGAATTGTATACAGGTAAGTCAAACTTTTTTATCTTCATGTGCCACTGAGCAACTTTCAAAGGAATGAACGAGGCCCCACATCCAACGTTGTATCCAGTTCTCTTTATACATCCACAGTATGGATAGGGTATCAAGTGAAAATGTGTTGTGTTCCTGTGTAGCGTATATGAGCTGATAGATTATATGATAACGTGATATCGGATTGGTGCATAGACTCGCCTGATCCAGCATTTTAGGCATTTCTGGTACTGGTATTGGAACAACTCTAGTCGTTGCTGCTGAATGAGACAAAATTCTAAGAAGTCTTAAAACTCTGACGGAGCCAAGCCAACTGTCTCTCCCTTTATACTCAAAGCCACTGCCTGTTTGTTTATTACATCTTTATATAATTTGATGTGAAGCACTTTTAGAAGCATTATGAGAGGGGCTTCGAAATTAAAATCTATGCAAAGTGCAACAATTAAATGTGAAAATAGTGCTCGAAACTGTAAATATGATGCTACTGAAAGGAACAGCCATGACCACATACTTAGACATACATTAACCTTGTTAAGTGTAATTTATGGTGTGTAGTCATGGTCTCAGGAAAACCTCTCAGCACACAGGAAGTAATGCATTGAAATATAGCAGGACATGCTGAGAGCAGGGAGAGCTGAATGCAACCAATTATAGTTGAACATTGAACAAAAACTATTTTCCTCTTCATTTCTACCTCGAACAGCCACTACAAAAAAAATGAAGGCCCAAAGGCTGTGCAGTCTAATTATGTTGAATGATTTCTGTGACTCTCTCGTATATTCGGTCAGTTGTTTGAGGCCGAAAGTGCAACGTTGCAAGATTTAACAGTAATGTCACCATGGCACTTTGCTGCACAGGATGCTGTATGGATTCAGTATGAATTGTAAAAGAAAAGAGACTCTGACAGTATTCAGGCTGGGTTTCTACATGAGGTTAATACCACAAGGGCAAAATAAGCTGAATGTGTAAAAAATAAATATGATGTCTTGCTTCACTGGTTCCACATAGGGTTTTTCACAGGACTTCTTTTATGCCAGATCCTATGCTGGAACAGAATCCAAGAGCTCCTAGTTTGGCCCCAGTACTTATTTGTGAGGGTCTGCCATCATCACTTAGCAATGGAAATAATTAGCCTATCGCTTTCAAAAAAAGACTTGTTCAGATGGCCAATCTCACAGATTGCTTTCCCTCTTTCCAAACTTGACACAACACTCGAGCACTGGTTATTCATGTTCCCTCTAATGAGGCTGCCATATAAAACATGCAGTATACAGACATAAACCGCGCACGCTCCCCGCACCAAGATGAACCAGCATCAACTGTCTCATCTCTGTATTGGTTTGAAGTCCACACAAACAGCCACAATGGAAGATGGGAAGGGGAAAAAGAATGTTAACGTGTATGAGACACATTACAAAAGTCCTATGGTGTGGGACCAGACGGTGAACCCAGCACAGGAGAAAAGCTGTAAAGCTTGAGGTGGTCACACAGCTAACAGCAGCACCCTTGACAGGTTCAGCACTTTTTATAGCCCGGATAATACAACAGGGAACAAGAGAAAGGGAGAGAGAGAGAAGGGGGGGGATCATGACTGCCTTGATTCTGTGGATCCTGTGGGGTCTGCTCTGCAATATGTGGCCTCACACACTCACACACACATTTTGACAACGTAAGCTGGGCTCACTCTCTCTGTATCAAAGGCCCCACCATGCGGGGATTAACTTTTGTTTTTGGCTGCATGAAAAAAGAGAAAACTTTAGGATGTTTATTTCCCTCTGGTTTTATTTGACTCCGGTTTTGTTGTGGGGGGAAGTGTGCTCGCTGTGTGTGACGTCTGTTTAGAGCACCGGGAGTTGCTTCTGTATGTTGGTGAGACGTTTGTTTGGTGTATTTGTTTGACTGACATACTGTTTGTTTGTCTACGCTGGCTGTTTTTTCAACTTATTTCACTGAAAATGCAGTCATTTGCTCCTTTGCCAAACGGCTGAAGTCAGAATATATGAAAGAGGGCAATAAAAGAGGAAAACACGCCTGCTTTGTCTGTTTGTGCTGTTCTTGCTTGCTTTTAATATCTTATGTGGCATCCAGAGGGCTTATTGGTTGGTTCTCAGAGATGGGGGGGGGGGGGAGACCTGGGTCATTCATGTTGCTATGCTACAGCAAAAATGATGCACACATAAAGAATGCTGCATCCATGTTGCTGGGACCATCTTCAGGAGCTGATCAGAGGCAACGCAGAGGACTTCTAACAGAATGCTGACCTCTAGTGGAGAATGCAACAAAAGCCGTAGCAGCTCTGAGGCAAAATATTCATGTGTAAAAATCAACCGCAAATGGCAGGGTTTACATGAATTCTCATATTTACTTGAAGTCCACAGCATGAGAACAAATCTATAAACAAATAAATATTTTAATTTATAACACTATCTCAAAGACATTGTGTCAGAAATGCAAGGAACGGTCAGATTGCCTTCAGGACATCACGGTCGTCATTGTGCCCGACAGAAGTGTGATCCAAAATATACAGAACAATCACTGCATTGCAAAAAGATTAAAAGCAAATGTGCGCATGTCATACCTAAACGTATAAACACATGGGCTCTGCTGCTGTAACAGTACACTATGTTGTAGGTAGTAAAAGAAAGCTAATGTGCCAATGAATTACATGAATGTGACACCTTTCCTCAGCACCTGTAGCTAACACTGTAAGACTTGAGCATGGAAGAAATTAATGTATAAGGTCTACATAAATACCAGCTAAGCAAACAAAAACAAACTCCTGTTGTGTGTGAACAGTTCGGTTCAGCACGACCAAGATTTGGTTATCTATTCAGCCCTAGGCTGTGCCTTTAGTTACACAATACTTTGCTGTTTGAAAACCTTAACTTCAGTTAATGTGAACAAACTCTTAAAGCAGATTTAACAATCCAGTGTAATGCATTTCAAATTCTAATGGACATGAAACAAGTTGTTCTAGCTAACAATCTAGTGCTACAAAACTGATTAGTTGTACCATCAGTGACATCTGTTAGCAGTGAAAAATAACATAGTTAAATGTCTATGAAATACTTTTAAGACCGGAAGCTCAAACTTTTGCAGCTATTGTTGCAAAAGTGACAGGCCTCCAATATGACTGCCCGAGGGTGTGCTATATGCCAGCTAAAAGCATCTTGCACCTGTAAATGCCCAGTAATGAACCAGCACCTCTGTTTCAGATGCTTGGGGGTAAGAAACACGGTCGCGACCTGGCCGAGGTTTTTTGTGCTCTTGCCGTTAGCACCAATACCATTTAAAAGTCGAGAGAGGAGTGGATCAGGAAGAGATTGAGCCTGAGTCTTCAACATCTGTGGAGTCGTTTTCGTCAGCAGACTCTGTGAGGGCAGGGTAGGGCCGTGGCTGGTCCAGGTTGACGTAGGTGACATTCAGACTGATGTAGTGCTCTCCCTCCAGGCCGGACAGGATGGTGGAGACAGCCAACACCAACGTAGCAAAGCTGGGCCTCAACTCTGGATCAGGGTCCCAGCACTGGAGGATAATGCTATACCTGGAAAAAACACGGACAGAGTTTGAGTCCAAGCAAGGGGGGAATAGCCGACTCAGTCCACTTTATTATCAGTTAGCATTAAAATAATTGATAATTATGTTCACATTTAGTTATCATTGTTACAAAATTCTGAAATTCCAGACCCTTTATCAACACATTTTTTGTGTCCTTCCAGCAGCCTAACGTATCCTCATACGTTTAGTACATTTTCGTAAGAAAAAGTTACTCCTCATTTTTCGTGCGTTTTCCTACAAAGGTCCAGCAACACTCGTTACATGCATACAGTCTTTCATAAATAAACTTCCATCTTAACAGGAAACAACTTACTTAGGTTTAGGCAACGAAAGTACTTGGTATGTTTAGGGAAAAGATTGTGGTTTGGCTTTTGGATTTAAATAACTACGGAAGTGCCATCTTTATACTTCCTGGTTCATGCTTACGTGGATTATATGCAAATTGATTTAGTGGGATAACTACAAATTTCAGAAGTAGGAAGATGGCCCCGGCCAAAAAAAATTGTCTGGCACTGACAACTCCCCGTAAAATATCAAATTGATGTTTTACACTTGATTTGTACGGATTAAACAAATAATGTATAACGTGTTAACTAGTGAGCTGTAGAGGATCTGGAAGGTGTATTTTGTTAACTTTGTGCAGAGCCACGTTAGCTCCCCTCGTTTACAGTCTTTGTGCTAAGCTAAGCTGTTAGCTGTAGCTTCATATTTAGTGTACAGTCATGAAAGTGGTATCAATCTTCTCATCTAACTTTCGTCAAGAAAGCAAAAAACACATTTCCCAAACTTTCTAACTATCCCTTTAATATCCTATAATGGTCCTCTACATGTGTTCCTTGGTAAGACTTTTCCACGAGCGCTTTGTTCCATGAGGACAGAATAGTTGATTTATTCTCCATCAATCTTTAAGTCGTTGTGCAAAAGCCTACAGTCCAAGGGATGTATCATTAAAACAGCAAAAACAAAACCGGATCCCCATACATACGATATATGGATCCAAAAAGTATGGGACATCTATCAAATGGAGCGAATCACATATTCATTAAGGCTCCAAAAGCACATCTTTACTAAACGATGGGGTCCTGTCATAGCGTTATTAATACAATGAGGGTTATTACTATATGTTGCTCGATCTGGTTGAACTGATACCTGTTAACTCTCTCTACACACACACACATTATACACCATCCTCTCTGACAAGCATATATAGCACCTACAATACTACATTCAGGAGTGGACAATTGTTATTTCTTCATCCCTTGTTTTTATTTTTATTTTTTATTTTTTCATGGATGCATGTAATCAATTATTATTTTCCCCTTCTTTTTCTCTTGGAGTGAGCACCATCTGATGTTTGTTGTTCCTTCTGTGCGTTGTACACTGTACCTGAATACCATGTGCACCAAGACTACATACAGCTGAAAAATGGACAAAGAAAGTAACTGTCTGAAAATGCATGTTGTTATGTTGTTGAAAACTAAATAAAAAGTGAGTTCAAAAAAAAAAAAACAACAGCAAAAACACTTTAGCTTTTCGCTGTAAAATCAGACCACTTTGTGTGTGTGTGTGTGTGTGTGTGTGTGTGTGTGTGTGTGTGTGTGTGTGTTTATGTGGTTTTGTGAAGGAAGAAGAGGTGTGTTGTAGACATACACATTAACTTCCAAACTGCATTGTTTAACTGTGTTGGAATACCAAGTAGTGGACAATTTACGGGATTCACACTACTGAGTGACCATACGAACAACTTGTTTTTACTACTTGGACTTTGTTCTTCCGTCTTGTAGTTGTAAATCTGTGTTAGTTTTATTGCAGTATTCGTACCAATGCAGTCCTCAATTATGTGAAGTTTTACAATGGACTTGTGCAAAATAATTACTTAGACTATTTAAACAAAGTGTGCAACATAATGCTATTACTCCCACTACTTACAAAGGGTCAGGGCAGTACTGAGGCTGGGGAAGCCTCCTGCCCTTCAGTAAGTAATGTGTTATGTCATAAGGGTCCACCTCTGGGTAGGGGCTCGCTCCTCTGGTCAGCATCTCCCACATCAGCACGCCAAAGGACCACTGCATCAGGAGAGGTAAGGGTTACACACGATTACCAGTACACTTGCACACGTGTTGAGAAAAGCATAAAAGCACAACAACTTCAAAGATGCTAATTGGAGCGATTTGTGTCTCACTCTATGAGATGAGCAAGAACAACAGTACAGCCTTAAACACAGACAAGGAGGTTGGCCAATGTTGAGTCGAAACTACGACGGTGGAAGTGGAATAAATTTGTGAAACACTAATGTGTCCTATTATTGTAGTGTATGCAATTGTACAGTACTGTCCTGTAAAGCAATACAGAATAATTAGTGCATAACACAACCAAAAGGCAATCAAGAAAAATGCTGGAGCCGCCATGTCTACACGTGACTCTACATCATTACAGATATCTACTGTTTGTGACCATTGATTATAATAAGGTAGATCTTAATTTGCTCACCACATCGGACTTGGAGGTGAATTTCTGTGTCTGCAGACTCTCGATGGCCATCCACTTGACGGGCAGCTTAGCCTTCCTGTGGTCCTGAACACTATAGTACTCCTTATCAAACACATCTCTGGCCATGCCAAAGTCTGCCACCTTGACTGTATACGACTCGTCCAGCCTAAAGACAGAAAAGGCAACATTACAGTTTTGTTGAATTGTGAACGAGCTTGTACACTACTTGTACACACTACTACACGAAATCCAAGAGAAATTCCGGCCTCACGGCGGTGAATAAACTGCTGATTTCTCTGCACATCTCGGTGACTCACATGCAATTGCGTGCCGCGAGATCTCGGTGCACAAACTTCTTCTGAGCCAAATACTCCATCCCCTTGGTAACCTGTAGCCCGAAGCCAATCAGATCCTTGACGGTGGGGTTCTGAACAAATCCCACAAACACATGACGAAAACACAGATTTTAAACAGTTGGAGAAACATCGTTTGAAAACAGATGACTGTACATAAATCAGATGATTAATTTGCACTGTTTTAATGTCAGTGTCACACCCTCTTCTCGCAGCGTATGAAGTGGCGCAGGTCACCATGTTTCATGTACGGTAGCACCACTAGAGGGAGCCCCTCCTGTGGCAGGAGGATGCCCAGCAGAGACAGCACATTAATGTGGTGGAAACCCTTCATTATGATACCTTCCTTCAGAAACTGCTCCACCTCCTCGACATCTGTTATTCCTGATGATACACACACACACACACACACACACACATATTATGGACTCAGATCTAAAGGACGAAAGCCACTGGAATCACAATGATGAGAAGCTGCTTTTAAAAGGTACACTTTCTAGTGCTTCCCTAAAGCAAATATATAGATGTTACTCACTGTTCAAAGACTTGACAGCACAGTGGATTTCTCTGTTGTTGTGATCTTTGAAGTAGCCATGATAGACAGTGCCAAAATGACCTACGGGGGGGAGATACAGAGTGACACAGGAATTATATTTCCAAGTAGGACAAAGCTCATAAAAGGCTCCATAACAAGTATTTTTATTTCACATAGAGGCAGTGGGGCTCCTCACCCTTCCCTATGATCCGGTGGTGTTGCACAATGAGCATCTCAGCGGGAATGAGAACATCCTTCACCTCCTCTAGCAGCTCTGGCCTGAAACTGGAGATGGAGATCTTCTCTGTAGGCATGAGGGGAGTCAGGGTAGAATCTATGCTGCCAGCAGCGTAGCTCCGGTAGGGGAACACCACCGGCCCCCCCAGCGGGGTGGGAGTACTCAGGGTTGCTACGTGTAAAAGTCCAGAGAGAGGGGTTTATTATTATTGAGAGTTATGAAGGCGTGTGTGTCAGAAGCAAACTAGCTTTCCAATATTACAGCGCAGTATGATACAAGTACTCAGCTAGACTGTCACCTCTCCTGTAGTCCCCAACGGGCGACAGCTCCACATTATTTGTACCGGAGTAGCTAACACTGTGGGCCAAACGGCTCTCCACCATGGAGGCTGAAAAACATTTCACAAGACCTTTTAATCATCAACCCAAGGACATGTACATCCCATGCAACACCAGGGATGTTCTGGTTGAAAGACTTATGTAATTCATCCCAAATTCCCGCCCACAGCTGGTTCCACTTGCACAAACAGGTCTGACCAAGGTCCACCTAACAGAGAGGAGCCCACCTTTCTTTTTCTTCCTCAAGTGTTTCATAACAACGAAGGCCAGCACCGCCCCGGCCACCAGAGCCGCCAGGATCCCCAGGACAATGCCCACCATGTAGTGGTTGCTGACCTTCACCACCGTACCGACGTTGTGGACCTGCCCGTTGATGGAGATCTAAAGAACAGAGTTCATCATACACAGTGATTACTATTCTACAAAGCATGGTTTAAGAGTTCTACTGACATTGAGCGCTACAGTAACATAAACAGTTTGCATGTAGACATGCCAAAGTGTCAGAATTTCCTAGGTTTATGCCTTGAAAATAATAAAATGTGCAATTTATTTTGCAAAATGTCCTAATTATCTTTACTACAAACATGTGGAGTATTTATTTTTTGCATTATTTGCCGATCCCATCTGATGGCTGCTTGTACAAGCCAGTCAGTAAATCATGATCTAAACCTCCGGCCTGATTTACCTTTACCGGCAGGCCCTCGCCGGGGATGGTCATGTTCTTGGGGATCCTGCAGGTGATCTCATTATCCAGCACTTTAGCATCACAATCAACTCCTGCCACCGTCATAATGATAGTCATACAGGAGCTCACCAGATTCAGCTTTTGATGCTGTGTACAGGGGGGGTCACATCAAGACATGAGACAAATGAATATGACAAATCCACATATATTTTGTCATTAAATCAAAGGTGAATACCCTCAGAGCAATCTCTTACATGTAGTGACACTTCGTCAAACCCGGGGTACAAATTCAGCACGTGTCCCTCTGTTTCAAAAGGAATGGGCTCGCCATAGGGGTGGTAGGAGAACTCTTTCTTCCAAAGTCCCAACGCTCCGTCCATGTCAAAAGAAAGCTCTCCTTCCTCGGTCTCATCCCTGGGGAACGCAGGAGAGATACACTCCATCCTCGTGGGAAAGGACTTACCTATGCACTCCTGAAACAAGACGTGTGATCACACGTTACTGGAAGGCCCACACAGTAAAATATCATGAAAATGACCTTGGAGGGGAATCAAGAAATTCTAAAAACTGGAGACTGACTTAACAGAATTAGGCTTTTGAATGAATCTACTGTACATTACGATGAACACCGTACCCTTGTCACAGGTTTCAAGTGACTCTCATTGGGTTTAAAGCGGATGATGGTGCGGTAAACAGAATCCAGGTTCTCCCCCCAGATGACAATCTTCGACCCCCTGCGATTCAGACAAACATGAGATATGTTTACATTTTCATAATATCAGGGGAGATAAGATTGATTCCGGTTGCAGCTTGAATTTGCGATACGATAAAGATAAAGAAAGAAAGATGAGAAAAGGTGGAGGTCTCACTGGCTGACCTGTCAAAGCTACAGTCAGGCAGGACGGCTGTAATCGTCGGGTTTTCCTTGTAGTAAAACACCTTTGTGGTGAGGACGGGAGACTTGTCGATGAAAACACTCAGGGGGACGTCCCTCACCTCTGAGATGGGCTGGGACAGACAGATGATGGAGGACACATTGCCTTTGGGCTCTGTGACTCTGTAGGGAGACAGAGGTATGAGAATTACTTGCCGTAACAGCTAAACTGTAGAGGATCAAAAAGTTTTCAAAGCTTTTTCCATGTTGCATGTTCAATACGATAACATAGTCTTTGGATGCCATAGCCTGTGGTTTCCCAACCCATAATTATTCTACACACAATTTGAGGGTAGTGTGATGAAAACAGATCGGGAGAGATGTGTTTCCAGACCTCTTTATAGGACAGGGCATGTCGTTGAGAGTGACTTTCCTGGTCCTCCCAGCATCCAAGTGCGGCCCAGTCACTGTGATGAGTGTGCCCCCAACACGAGGCCCATAGTTGGGCTGGATTTCTGAGATGTTGGGAATCTGGAGGGACATAAGCGGTTCCCTAGATTAAATAGCATTTCAAATAATTTACAGCTTGTATGTTGTAATGAGGATTTCAGTAGATGATAGCAGCAAAGGTTACCACAAATGTGAATCCTGGCATTTCTGCCTTCCCGTCAATAGAGTAGCGTCCCTCCACCTTGCCCTCATGCACCTCCACTGTAATGTTAACTGGTTTGGACAGCTCAGTGGACCCAGAGCGAATCTTACACACCAAGCTGAAGAGCAGCACCACAAAACACATGCGTGAGTGACAGTAACTGCAGCACCAGTGACAAATTAATTTCAGGGTAAATTCAAATTGTTGGACTTTAAACTCTGTCAGGACACTAAAGTTGTTAAATGTGTTAGTTTTCCTGCTAAAATACAGCGTTCAAGTTAAAGCAATCCACTCTTACTTACTTTATAGAATACATTTGTTATTTAAAAAATTTCAACAAAGTTCACAATATTGCCATCAGCCTCAGCTGTGCTTTGTGTTTTGTGCTAATTAACCAATGTTAGCATCAGCATGTTAACATTATTACTGTGAAAAGTTAGCATGCTGACTTAAGCGTCTTAGTGCAGCCTGACAGAGCCGCTAGCGTGGCTGTAGACTCGTAGTGGTTAACTACACCTATTGGTTGTGCAGCCTTGTGTCACACACAGATATTTCAACACATCAGCAACATCAGTAAGCATCATAGGGCACATATCAAGTTTTGTCAGTCCCTCAAAGTCTAGACTAATCTTTCGTCACAAACAGTAGCCTCAATAGACCAGATCCCAGTGCAGAAAGGTCTGTTAGTGCTTTCTCAATTTCTCAGAAGGCGTCTGGAAAAAAAAATACTAGCCTTTAATTTTTACAAAATCTTAAGGGTACACTTTCCACAATGGATTGGACTTTGAACCAGAAGAGGGCCTGCATGGATACTCACTGTGTGTTATTGCTTTTGACCGGAAGCACAGTGCACGCAGTCTGTCCCAGTCGGATCTGGTGGGTTCTGGAGGTGATAGCGGGTTTTATGGGAGACTGGAACTCCCATCCGCACACCGTTAGCTCTGTTTGACCATCAGGAGGAGCAGTTCGTGGAAAGAACTGCGTCAATAAAGCAGAATACACAGTGTCACCTTGATATTAAATGTTTACATTAGTTGCACGAAGAGACGTATGTATCCTGGATTACAGAACAAACCTCACCCCAGTGATCCCCGGCGGGCAGGACTCGTTCCTCCAGCGACTGTGACACTCGCTCTCCCAGGAGCACACTCCGGAGCACCAGCCACAGGCCATGAACTTCGGAGCTGTCAGGCACGTGGCACAAGTCAGGAAGTGTTGACAGCCCGGCCCTCTCTGGGGCACCTGGATCATCTGAAACAGAGAGATTTAAAGGTCACATATTCAATCTCATGGCCTTGTACTCCTTTATTATTAATGTGGCTATTACTATAACATGTAAACTGATACTGGGCCTCGTTCAGCAGACAGCTCTTGGTGCTAAGTCCAACAGACTACTCTAATCCAAATAATACATGTGATTAGTGATCCAGCACCAGCTTCTGATATTACTGCAAACTGTAAAGTCACATCAAGTTTATTGATTTGCTTTAGGCTTTAGCCCGTTGTTCATTCTCAGGGTTACAGTGGTTGCAACGTATCCCAGCATGCACTGGGCAGAGGGCAGTAAAACAACATAGGGCCAATGACAGTCCCAACTCATTTGGTATTGTAATGTAACCTGAGCTGCGTGTTTGGTCTGTGGGAGTAAATTTGACCCTGAGAGCCTGCTGATCAGATGACAGTAATATCCACAGAGCCATTGTACACATTTACATTGATATAAATGAAAGTGTTTCGCTCTCATTTCATGGGAGTGCTCTTGTACCTTGTCTCCAACCACAAAGAGAAGATACTCTGTTGAGTAAACAGCGGCGATGGACGAGACCCTCTGGTTCTCTACCAAAGAGTAATTGGCAAAGATAATAGGGCTGGATCTTGTTAATACAAGCTGTCAACACAGACACAACGTATGATCATTAGTAATGGACCGTATACAATAGTCAAAATGAGGACAAATACCCCAAATGGCCGTGTACCTGCAGCAGGCGTCCAGTCGAGGTGCCAATATGGGCTACGGTCTTGTTCTCTATGATTGTGACCAGCAAAGATGTGAGGAGGACATCTGTCATCTGCCTGTTGAAGAGGTCCACTCTGTAGTAGGGCTTCGACATCATGGTAGGATGGTCTCTGCATGTGGCATTGTTCTCCATGCTCTAGTACCAAGGAAACAGGCAGCAGAGGAAATGAAAATGAGCCAATGGGGAAGAAAGTGAGCATTATCAGACATGTTTGAACTAGGCTGACATCAGGGTCTACTTGATGTCAGCTGCATGCTCAGATGTCATGGAGATGGACTGGACCTTGAGTTGGATTTTTTATTTTTCGTCCAAATTAGCTTGACAGCTTAGAGTGTGTATACATTTGTGCGCTTCGAAGAGTTCCACGTTCTCAGACGATAATGTTTCTTCTTTTAAAAGCGTGCAGATGTAGTGAGACAGGCCCAGCTGTTTGCTTGCAAGGAGGACGAGCTACGAGCTGCACTGGTCACCAGGGAAATCACCAGTCCCCGGCACACCAGAAGCACAAGGTGAATCTGTCGTTATAATATCATCATTTTGTTTAAGAGGCCATGATAAGTGATTATGTGCTGCGCTACTGACAGCAGGATTGCCTTGTAGCTACAGACAGGCAGCAGGGCGGATCACTGTTTGATTAGAGGGAGTCGTCGGGTAAACACTGGTTAATATCATCGGGGCATGATATAACAACAAAGAAATTACACTTTCTAATTGTGTTCTTGTCATATAAAAGGGAAAAGAGGTAATTGGGAAATAATCATTTTTCAAATTAAGTGGATGCGAAAAAATATTAGGAGACATGCATCCTCCATGCTCTTGTCTGATGATGTGGGTCTTGGAAAAAACACAAACAGCAATGGTATTGGCTGAAGTCATTGACCTACGAAGCCCAGAGGAGCATAAAACCTTGATTATAATTCGGTTTTCTGAACCCTAAACCACACATTCCATGACAATGACATAGAGAAAAAGTGTGATATGTTATACATATGTTATAACCAAACTAAAACACATTTTCATATTTCAGGGAGAGCCCAGAAGCTGAAAGTGGCATTTGATCAACAGAATCACATGCTCATACTGAATAATTTATTATTCTAGATTATTAAATGTAATCATCCTCCAAAGTCTAAATGTTTCGATGGCACACTGAAAAGCAGAGAAGCATGGTATTTGTGAGTCACAGATGATGTCGTTGACACAAAATGTGTTTTGATCTGCAGAGAAATGGAAGAACCAGGATTTCAGAATGTTCGACAATCCCGCTGGCATGTCACTTACAAAAACAGCAAAACAGAAGAGGGCTCAGGAGAAAAGTTCACTAGTTCCTTTGAATCCAATCCAAAGTTAATTTTTCAGATTTTCAACAACTGAAGTCACCGAACAGTATTGCTTCTGAGTCACAACTCTGTGGTTTTCTTACCACAAGTTCTACGATTCCATATCCAAACTATGAAATCACTGCTGCAATAACAACAACTCAGTTCTGGGAATTTCAACTTAATTCTCAAACTGGCTGTTACATTGGGAATAGGAAGTTCTTCCCCATCCGCCAACAAAAAATAACTTAACATTACAAAAAATAACATTATGGGAAATATGCAAGTTTTCCCAAGAGTATTAACACAAGAAACACTGCAGTCCTAATCTAAGACGTTTAAAAGTATACATCCAAATGTTCACGATGACCTTAACAGGCTACTGAATACACACTGACATGAGATCAAATCTTATTTAAATAGGGTTTTTTGATACCCTCTTCCTGTCTGGCCTGAGAAATTCACTCAACTAACGCAGCCCTCAAACCTCACTCCCATCTGGCCTCTCTCCAATTTTCATTCCAACAGACTTCTTCCATCCAAAAAGCAATTTGTTTCCCTGATTTCTTGGATTTAACAGTGAGTGCTCCCTGAATGATGATGCGATTGGTTCTGGTTGCATTCATCTGTCGGCTGGGATGCAAATGACCTTAATGGTATATAGGAATCCCAAAAAGTTTTCTTTTCATGGGCATGTAATCTAGTAGATCTGACAGATGATGAAGAGGATTAGTCCAACCAAAAAGGAAATCAAAAAGGCCATAAAACCACAGAGATTCAGTTATATTGCCATGTGTCAGCTATTAGCTATTGTCATCACTTTCAAAACCTCCCCACCATGACACTGTGTCAATGAAGTGACAATTCCACTTTTGGGGAAATACGCTTTTGGCTTTCTTTCTTTCTTGCTGAGAGTCAAATGAGAAGATTGATCCCACTCTCACAGCCAGAGAGTGGTATCAATCTGCTCATTTACCTCTCGGTGATAAAGCAGTAAATGTTTTTCCCAGAATGTCGAATTATTTCTTGAAGAGGAAAAGTTAAATGATGTTTGCATTTGTTGTAAGGTATGAATAATCTCTTAAATGCACATTTAATTCCCGTTTCTGATGACAATGGTTTCACTTTAAGCTTGCACAATAATCTGCAGATATATTTAACTTGAATTGAAACAGTGAGTCACACGATGAACACATGCAGCTGGGGCGAGCTCTGTGCTACGATGAAAATGAAAGTTTTCTTTAGTCATGTTTGTTAGTCATTGTGTCTGCCAGTAATGTGACTAAAGTATTGCTTTGGTTTGGGGTTTACATAATTTCCTCATATATTTACATAATAATCAGTAGAAAAAACACATGATGAAGGTTGAGTTCATGATGAGTCATCATTTTTTACCCAAAACCATTTTATCTGAGGAACTTATAAGTACACTACTGAGTTGATATTACTATTTGCATATCATCTGTCCTTGTTCATGTGCAAACGAGCTGCCATGGAGGCTTTTCTCCACTCTCAATGCGTAATTTCCCTGAGTCAGTGTTGGAATGTATGCCGAGAGGAACCTGCATATTCCTCAGGTTCATTTGATTGACATTTATATGAGCCGTGAACTACCTCAGTTGTGTTTAATCTTTCTGCTCACACAGGTTTTCTGTAGATGGACTTTAATTCCCAGACTTGCCTGAACCTTTAAGAAGGAGGAGTGTACTTCCCCTATTATTATTTATTTATACAGTTAAATGTTAGAGGGACAGAGCATATTATCAATAGAGAGTTCTTTTAATTTTGTAACTGCAGTTTCTGCGCAGGTGTAATGACAGCAACAAAAGACACATTAAATACACACGTCAAACACTTGATTGTCTTTTAACCGTGATTTTAAATAGGTGTTGGCAGACTGAGAGGGGAGGAGACAAGCCCCACAGACAAGACAAGCGTCTTTAAATTTAATAAGAATGTCCCAGCTCGGTCAATCGTGAGGCAGTAACAATGGTGATGGCTGTTTGGCTACCTGTCAAGTACCTTGACAGCCTGGTGCTGTACTGACTGTGCAGGTTTGAATGTTGAACAGGAGGTGTGTGCCGAGTCAAACAACATAAGTTTTTGTTTTTTTCTGCTGTAATGTTAGCCAGTTCCAAAGAAGGGAATGTTTACTTGTTTTTTAACTTCACTAACAATATATACAGTATGTGTGATTATGCCTCTTGAGGGGATACATTTGGTTCGTTTCTGTACAACTGTACAATTGAGTACCATTTATCCATTAATGCTACCTGTGGCTCTAATTCCAGAGATCCTCCCCTGATTGGCTACAAACAGCCGGTGAGATGTTATGAAAAGGTTTTTAGAAGACAGCAAACTGGTTGGTTTGTGTTTTTATCACTCTTCAGGAAAACGTAGGAAGGCCTGTGTTTTGTGTACTGTGAAGGTTATTTTCTCACCAAGTTTCTCCTTTTTGTGGCTGATCTGAGTCCATTTTTTATCTGAAAAATAAACGCCTTCTTGCTTTTCCACTCACAACAGCAGCCATCCTCAAGTACAACACAAGCCAATATGTAGGCACATGTTAAGAGAGAAAACATAGTTTGTAGCTCTACACCCACGTGGTGAGATTTTCCAAACAGGCCCTGTCAAGAAACCTGCACCCTGAGTCAGATAAATATGGATAAATAGTTATCCATATGAATGGGTGTGTTCGGGAAGATACCTTAACTGTTTTTCTGGGAATTCTATAAAAAAAAAAAGAGTTGCTGGAAACCCATGGATCATCTCATCCATGTTATGGAATAATGCAATGTGTTAGTGGACTGACGGCCTCACCTCATGTGGACAGCTCTCACAGGGCTGGAAGTGGCAGAGCCCTCTGGAGAGCTGCTCTGGTCCAGACTCGCAGCAGTCATCCACCCCATCCACGATGGCTTTGTTCACGTTGTCAATCGGGAAGGCGCACAGGGCCGAGTCGTGCTCCGTCACCCCGTTGTCATCAGTGACGGCAAAAACCCCGTAGAGGATGTCATCCTCCTCCTCGGCCCCCAACTCCTCTGCCAGCTCCCTGCCCGCCTTGCCAAAGTGGGCCGCCTGGACCACGTTGTACACCACGTCCTTGTAGGGCTCGCTGGCTACGTTCCTCCTCCGGCGCTTCGGTTCAAACCGACACTCCAGGATCACTTCACGGTACCTCTTCATCTCCCATTCATTCCGTGGGAGACGGCCCAAGTGAGTCTGAAACGAAGAGGAGTCCTGATCGGGGCTCTCTCTCTGAACTGAGAGGAAGTAAACAAACTCCTGAGTGAAAAAGCTGTAGACATATTCAATATGGTATTTCCGCCGCAAGCCCGGAAGGACAGTCAGGCCACGCACGTCGCTGTAGAAGCCGTCTTCTGTGGCCAGTGGTCGACGCACTGATATAGACTTCCTTGCGTAACGCTGGGTCACGCTGTCGTTGACAGTGGTGGCAACAAAGAAGTAGACGGTCTGTCCCTCTTCGACCATTGTGACTTTGGTACCAAGAGGGCTAGCCAAACAGTCGGGACAGTAGGCAGCGGAGTTCGAATCCTTTTTGAACAAACACTTCGAAAGGGAAGGCAACTGTCCATTTGAGTTTAGTTGGTGGAAATAGCATACACCATACTGAGAACTTCCACAAGAGTATAAAGACATGAAGAGAGTATCCAACAGCAAGACCTGATTGTTCGTGTCCTCCGGGAAGTTGGGATCCTTGCCAATGTCGCACAGATCGCACAAGTGACACTCGGGGCTTCCCACCGGCCCAGTGCGGAGCTCCCACGCCTTCTCCAAGCTTCTGTTGACAGCTTCGATCACATTCTGAGAGGCAACATACACCTCCTGGTAGAGCGAGTTGTTGACTATGTTCTGGATGGTGCCCCGGGCCTGGAAGAAGGGCATGGTGTAAACCACAGAGAAGTTGACAGGGCTGGGGGCAAGTGAGGGACAGTTGGCCAGGGCAAAGGCCAGCAGAGTCTGGACACAGACACATGTCCCCCACTGTGTGGTCCAGTGGACCATCTCAGCACAGACAACGTGGGGTTACCTCCAGGTCAGATGTCGGGACAAAAGCATCCTGAACACCAGCCGCTGATATCTGAAGGAAGAAAGTAGAATGGGTCAATAAATCATTAAGGGGAGACAGTACAGTTAAATAGGGTAAACTATTGAACTAATTGATATCACCATGAAGCTTCCACAGTTAATTAAATTAAGGGAATCAATTTCTCTGTCACAGCTTTCTAATTTTATGTTTAAATATGCTAATTGGCTTTATCTTATTGTGCTAGTTTGCATTTCCAGAACAGAAATCTAAATTTTGGATGAAGCAAGGTTCAAAATTCTTGTTTCATTCAAGGTTTTTACAGAGGGAATTTGGGATATCATTTTAACAAGATCTTTTATTAGAGTTGTCATATACATATACACATACATGAAATTTAACTTCTGCATTTAACCCATCCCTAGCTTATTGGGAGCAGTGGGCAGCTGAGAAGCACCCGGGGTTCAGTGTCGTGCTCAGAGACACTTCGGCACAGGACATGTAGCAGCCAAGGATCGAACTGCTGACCTTGCGTTTGCCGGGCAACCCTCTTTACCCACTGAGCCACGGCTACCCCCCCAGTGCTTTTTATCACTCCATAAATCAGAAAATACGGTCAAAAGCCATAAAAAAAAATTGCCATGTTTTTACGAATAGAATGTTCTATAAATGATATCTGAACAAAACTCTCTTCAAAAAAAAACTTCAGAATATAGATAGGAATGAAATTTGAAAGTTTGGTGTATGTATCTGCTACTTAGGTAAAGATTTCTGGCTCAGCAAATGACAAAAACTCAACAGGCCTTTAAAGATATGTATTGTAAAATTATATACGTTTTGCACAGACAAAACACACAGGTGAATGGTGTTTAATAATGTGCATGTGCAATGTGCAAGTGTAGTCAAATAAAGACCGTAATGTGTATTTTGAATGATTCATTTCCACTAGTCTGTAATAAAAATCACTCTGCCTAATTATGTTCTGCACTGAACCTGGACAGATCCGAGGTGATAAATATCCTCATCTTGGTTGAGCCAGATGATGATAAAAGTGCATGTGGTCATAAAGATAAAAGCTTCCTCTGACTCACTGTTTACATAATGAAACAGAGAGCTGTGTTGTTGGTGCTCAGCATAGTAGACAGTGGATAGAACTGTGACTTCCTGCACAAGTTATTCACATCTGTCTGGACATGTTTATTGTGGTTAATCCAACATCCCATCTGTTTCTCCCCCCCATTATGAGTCATGGTCTTACATTTAGGAGAACTGGTACACCAAGTAAACAAATCACTAAATCTATCAACAACAAAACTTGAGCATCTTCATCAGTCTCCAAACAACAAGCAACCGAGTGGAACCGCGTTTCAAACTGCGAGCTTTGTCTTCATTCTGGACAGACGTTGCTGGGTGGATCATTAACTCGACACATCGGGCTAAGGCTGTGTCGAAGAACCCCGGCCTCCACTTTGCATTCCTGTCACAACCGCTACGTGCCTTTCAGGGGGAAAGATGTGCACGGTCTGATGGTCATAAGGACGGCATACGCCTTTTTAAGCCCCGGGTGAAGAAGAAACGGCTCATCTGCTCGTGCCAGAGAATTTGAATGAACTCTGATTATTTTATTTAGCGGCACAGAAAACTCCATTTTCACCAAAACTCTATCAAGAAAAACGTCACTTATTGTTGCTATAAGGAGTCGTACGGAAAAGTTCCAAGTAAAGTGCGTTGTCTTCGCATCAATAATTCATGGTATCCCACTAAAGTGGTGTTACACTTTAACATTGGCAGCTCCATGTGAAACTGAGGTTAAGGTGAGAGGACATGGGCACACATAGTAATGGCACTGATTGACTTTCTTCATGTTCATGGTTAATAAAGCAAATGGTTGAAATTGAGTTTCCATTCATTGTACTGTTGTGCTATTTACAGGCCGGTTTTTGCTGAAGGCTGCGTCAGTGTATTCCCTTACAGGTGAATTAAAAGATGCAGGATTCTGATTTATAATGTTTGTGTGTTAAATTAACTCTATCTTCAATTTTCTGTCTTTTTATCTTAGCGTCAAAATGAATATATAAATATAAATTTTCCAAATATACAAGTTGCCCTTTTACCGTCACTTACTTATGGCCTGTGAGGCTACAGTGAGATGGGTGGCAGACATTGGCGTTGGCTGCGGTACGCAACAGCTTTATCGGATCAGTGCCTTGCTCACGGGCACTTTGGCGGCAGTTAATGAGAGCATATCTCTGTGATTGATAACTGCACAGACATCCATGGGGAGTTGAGGAGGCAATCTGCTGTGCAAACAATCAATGGGGAAACACCCATGGTAGCCCAGGGACACGTGTATTGATTCAGCGGTAGAAAATGCCGAAACCCACCAGTGTGGAGCGACACACAGCCCTGTATTTACTTTATTTTAAAACATATAAGGATGATTTCTATAACTTTATAACCTTATTCTTCAAAAATGATTCATCCAAGTGGTCAAGTCGACATCAAATCAATTCGGAAAATTTCACAGAAGCTGCACCATTTGTAGCCTGCCTTTGTCCTTTTTATCCATTTTATTGACTTATCTCCATGTCGATGCTGATTTCTTATCCTAACAGTGTCTGTCTTAAATTCAGTGAAATCGTGCCAGTGCATTCTGGCTCCATTCCACATGTATTTGACTACAACTGCTGCACTAAACAAGGAAACACCTTGCTCTGTGATCTTTATGAATGGTTATAGTCGGGCACTGTGGTCTTTTACAAAAACTGTACTGAGAATAAATCCAATTACAAGGGTAAATTGTAATATTTCATGATGTCACTTTAAAATTAGACATGGAATAGCAAATGAAAGCCTTCTATTATCCGTGCTCAGCTCAGTACACCTTCTTCACTCACCATCACACAAGCACAACATGCCACATTTTCAGCCCCTAAGCCTATATTACAGTTAAAACTCGTATTTCTAAACACTAAGATTGGTTTAAATGTAAGCGGCGTACAGTTACACCTTTAAAAAGACTTTAACACGCTGTATGACATGTTATAATATCATTGTTGGTGTGCTATGATATCTGAACAAGCGCCTACTGGAATATTTAGCAGTGTCAGGTGACTAGTTTGAAATAAATGTCTCTGGTACGTGTGAATGTACCAAAAGAAAAGCTCACCTGTGCAGGTAAGTTACTGTCCTCTTACTGCCAGCTTTGCTCCTTGTCTGACTCTAAGAAGCAGCGCAGGGACGACTTCTTTTTTTTTGTCGCTGAGGTAGATTCAAGATCCCACCTTTAGAATCTAACGGCTGTCCGTCCTCGCGAAGCGCTGGAACACGTCAACTGCGTCGGTTTCGGATTTATCTTCAACACGCAGCTTGAGTCGGTCCTCTTTGCCTCAGACGGGGCTTCAGCTCGCTCCTCCCCTCCTCTGACAGTCAGCAGCAGCAAACCCAATTAACCCTCATTGAACAGTGACGTACATGTGCCGTCAATTAATGTATTGTTTACAACTAATTTGCCTTTTCAATGTTGTTGTTTTCTAACTTGCAACCAATTAAGGATTACCTACTGTAGATGTAACCCCTGATTCACAGCACGAGACATCAGAGCGACATGGAGTGGTTTTATTATGCTCCAAGTGTATGTTCCTTTGGTGTTTAGGCAACAGACCAGCATGTATTATGTTGGTCTCCTGAAATATGATGGTAGGATGGTACCATCATATAGAAATATATATATATATATATATATATAAAGAATATATAAGAATATGCTCTTATATATAAGAGCATATGAGAGAGCATAAAGTAGGGTTTATAAAACAAGGTAATACTGATACTAATATTGTCAGTGGTTAAACTAAGTTAATTTATTCAAGTACTACCAAAGTAGCTTTGACTTTGAGTATTTGAATTGTATTCTTCTTTATACTTCTACTAAATGTGCTCCACCTCCGCCACCTGTAACATTGACATGCTACTCATGTGCTAAAGCATCAGGAATAATATTCCAATAATATAATAGAACTCTGAAAGGGACCATAAGTAGCTACTATTACTTTGCTGCTAATACTTTTGTACTTTTACTTCAGTGAAGTCTTGCATGAACGACTTGTATTTTTGCAGAGCGATATTATGTTTACCTACTTTACAGATATAAATACTTCTTCCATCACTAACTAATATGCCCAATATTAACAGAAAGAAAATCACAAAAGTCACGCAAGACACATGATCAGTTTCATTACCAGCGATTTATTTATATCTGATGATTCTAGAGTTGTAATGCAGCCATAAATCTGCACTGTCACAACCTTGTTTTGGCTTTGAACAATGAACAATTAGTTAAGACCTGATTAGTGGAGGCAGATGTGGGGATGTTTTCCTGAAGCAAAGCAGGACCCCTTGAAATACAGTGAACATCTGTGATAAGACACAAGCAGGTACAATTTCATACAATACTTTCTTAACTAACACACATTTTATGATAAGTTAAGGAAAATTCCAATTGCCACTGGAAGATCAAGTGAGTGAAATTAAGATTCCTTAACATTAACACAAACAAATGACAGCAGTAATCGGGTTAGACTCATCAACACATTTGTCTCAGGAGTGCCTTTTGCATAAAGAAAGTGCATAGAGGTAAAATTACAATTAGTTATTGGTCGTCATGTAAAGATAAAACACAACCGGAATGTGCTGAACTCATATTTTAACAGCTGTTATAACAAGGGAATACATTCTACCGCAGGTTCTCAGAAAAATTCCAGTTTTTGAATTCAAGATTTTAATAACTAAGCATTTCTAAAACGACAGCATCTTTCATAGTCTTAGAGGCATAATAGGTCTGTTAACAGACATTTACGAAATAACGTCCACGTTGTTGTTGCGTCATCATCGATGATGCTGATGCTGCTTCATCTGTTGTTATTCAAATGTTAAGGTATAAAAAGCGAGCCAGATAAAATACAGCATTAAATCACCGTCATTACTCAGTCTACTTAATCACAAATCTGTGAATTAGATCAGAGGAATCCGAAGCAAGAAAAGAAAGCTCTACAATCATGAAGCGAATACTGAACTACTGCATCATCTGCGGCGGTCCTCGGCACAAGCCCCCCCCCCCCCCCCCCACCCCCTGTCAGCATGATGAATTTTGTTTCAGCAGGTCGGCCGGCAGCGAGGGGCTCAGTATGTGAGAGGACTCAGGATGAAGAGGCGATCCTCCTCCTTCCTGATCCACTTCAGCAGTTTGTTGACAGCAGAGACGGCCAAGGCCTTGGTCCCCAGCGGACTGAAGCAGAGGTAGAGCTCGAAGCCACTCGTCACCTGCAGGAGAGAGGAGGCAGAGCAGCACGAGGCCGTCTCAATGAGTACTGCAGTATTTTTACGATTTTTGAAAAGTAAATCTTTTAACGCAAAGAGACAAACTTATGAACGCTCACCTTTCAAACACAAAATGCTCTCCTTACATGCAAAGTGCAAAACCTCATGCTCAGTCCTCAGAATAGAGCCATACAGGAAAATACTGTAGAAGACAGTACAAGCATCTCATCTCACAACGCCAGGCTTACCCATGCCAGCAGGTTTTCAGATTCCCCACAGCGGTAGAAGGAGCGGAGGGGTCTGGATGGATGATGCAAGCTGCTGTGGAGGTCCTGGTACAGTCCCATCAGCCTTTCCTGCTCTCCATCAGACTGGTACACTTCAGGGAACTCTGGACTGGAGGAAAAGGAATAAGAGCATCTTGTCAAGTGCAACACCAAGAAAACCGTCACATGATTTGTGAAGCGAGCTTGAGACATATATTCTGAAACTGCTTAGGTCTGCCCACCTGGTGTACAGCCCTGAGCTCTTTGATTTGTACAGGAAGTGCCTGAGCTCCGGGATGGCGACCTGCTCCACAGAATAGCTGGGACATTTAAGGGCTTCTTTCAGGGCCTGGTAGGCACTGCGCTTGTTCAGCCTCTCCAGGAACCGCTGCTTGCAGTCGGACATGTTAAAAAAGTCCTCTCGGTCGGTCGAGACCAAGATGAGGCAGAGCTGGGACGCAGGCTCCAGGTAGGAGATGTGAGCGTGGAAAAACCCGGCGGTGTTGAACTTTGGCAGACAGATCGGCGTCCAGCCTTCGCCCTCTCGGAAGGACGAGGAGGAGCCGACGAGGTTGAAGACCAGGTGCAAGTCTATGTGGTGCAGGAACTGGTCCTTTTTCCTCACCAGAGTGACCAGGCGGTCGCCCGCCAGCAGGATGGAGAACACGAGGCTCTCGGATTTGGCAGCCTGCAGGCCCGACGACACCGCGTCCCTGGCGGAGCTGGCCAGAGGCAGGCAGGTGACGGCGCTGAGCAGCAGCCCAGGGTCGCGGTCCAGCCGATGCAGCAGGTTGTCGGTGAGGTACTCGGAGCCGGCAAGCAGGCGGCGCAGGTCGAAGTTCTGCTTGTGCTGGAAGATGTGGTTGAGCTGGGTGAGGGTCAGCAGGCTGACGATCTGGTAGTAGATGTACAGCAGCTCCCGCAGCAGCTCCTTGTCGGTCTGAGAGGTCCGAGACACGCCCACCAGGACCAGAGGGCTCTTGGTGAGGAAAATCACTTTACAGCCATCTGACACAAAATGTTTGACACAGATTAAAAACATGCACTTTTGACACATTTTATTTCTGACTTACGAACCAAAAGTACATCCTGACCTGCATGGATGGACCGAATGACGTTCTTCTCGGCCTCGACGACGGACACAAGGGCCATCATCACCCCCATGGTGCTGGACAGAGCCTCCTCCGTGCCGTAGCGGCTGTAGATCGGCTTGCCGGCCTCGCTCAGCACAAACACGTGTTTTCTGTGGCTCCTCCACGCCTCGCTGCACACGTCTTCCTCCTTAGTCCTACTCTCCGATGTGACGTCGATGTTGTGCTGCTCCTCTACGCTTTTCTCTCCCACCAGCACCTTGAGCTCGTCTGCACACTCTCCCGACTTGTCCAGTTCGGCCTCCCTCTGATCCTCTCCCTCAGCGGTCAGATCCTCGAAAGACTGCGCATGGACGAACATGGTACTCTTCTGACCGGCACCTGTGTTAATGTAGGGATAAATGATTGTCAAATGTTTGTCAGTATGTTGTATGAATGTGTAAGGAATATATAAGCGAGCACCTATAGAACAATAAAGCCTTTTTGGAGGCTGCTTTTGTTGTTGTTTTGCATCTGTTGGTGATGAGACTGGTTCCTATAGAAAAGCATCTGTTCTTTGATGGAGGTGCAGAGATTAACTAGACATACATTTGCAAAACCAACTCCTTAATCCTCATCCTTACAGTCTGTCTCTTGTGAAAGTAGAAAATATTGTTTGAGAACACTTCCAACCATGAATACATCTCCCCTTTGACGTCAGAGTGTGGCGTCATCTCACAAAAGGGGAGATTTATACGAGTGTGTTTTCAAACAACAGTTTTTCGGTGTCAGGTTAACTCTCCCACCTCGGCACAGCAGGTCACAGCTGCTTTCCCAAGCTTTTTTATGGGAACCATCCAGGACCATCTCCCACGCAGCGGCTGAGACAGTCCCAAACGAGGGGTAATGTTGGCCAAAAAAGCCGTCGGAAGATTCTATATTATGACATGTCAGTTCACAAGGTAGGAGTGTATCCTTTTGCTGAAACAAAAACTGAAAAAACTACCCACAAGAAAATGTATCTTTTTTTTTTTTAACACTGACTGACATTAGCCAGAATCCAGCAAAAGCCTCAATAACAGATGTTTTATTTGGGCTGTTACAGAGCATCCACGCTAAGAGAAATGAATAAGCTCTGGTCCCAGCTATCTAAGTCAGAGAAGAAGAAAAAAAGAAGAACAGAGAATAGAGAATACGACAAGTCTGTTAATGAGTCAGCTAGATAACACTACAAAAATGTCATGTTTATCTCAAGACTAGACCAGAAGAGCAAATCAGATTTGGATGTGTTCAAGCTGGATGTGACACATCTGTGCTGCTGGAGACGACTGTATTATTATAGCTCTTATGAGAGGATATGTCAGTTCTTACACTGTTGTTATGGCAAGGTATTCCTAAAGTGTTGGAGTTTTTTGACACATAATCTTATAGAGAGTATTACTATTAATAACTTCTAGTCTCACAGAGCCCAAAAAAGTAACGATGCATTCAGGAGCTCCAATTCAATTCATGACTTGTGATGTTTATCACAAGAGCGTTCCCAGCAAACAAGCGGGCAGATTGCAAAAGACAGATCATTGTGATCACATGTTAGAAATTTCTTTGCAAAAACAGGATGTGCATTCTCATTCTTCGTGTGTGTGTGTGTGTGTGTGTGTGTGTGTGTGCGTGATGTTTAACATCAGAATTACTGTCGTGTTTTATGCATGCATGTCACGGTACGATTATGTATTTGCCATTTAAAATCAATATTATCACAGGCATAGTCTGCTGCAAAGACTACCTGTTTCTATTTTGAAGCAGCAATCATAGAACCTAAATTCTGGCCGGATGCCAATGAGGAAATAATTATGAATGACACTTTGCATAAGAGTTATTAACTTGAATTCAAGAGAGCGGATCTCGACTTATTTATGGCCTGATGCATGATCGGCCCAACTTGAAGCCGTTTCCTTGTACAGCGTACACTGGTGTATTGTAGACGTTGTACTCGTGTACTGTAAACATTTTTTTGAATGTTTTGTAATGTAAACCCATGGGGGATGTGCCAGGAGATGGAGAAATACATACAATTCATTCACCCACTTATCCAAAAAATCCCACCGATAGTGGCTAATTACTCAGCCTCACCTGGTTCCGTACCCTCCACCAGACCTGGCATGGGGCTCTCCGCCCTCTCGGAGCGAAGGTTTTCCATGGGAGCCAGAGTAGCATTCTCCCACGACGCAGTGGACCTTTGGGCTTCTCCATCCATCACTGCTACTTATGGCAGTGGACACACACCTGGTAGGACAGACAGAGACAGCTGTGGGATCAGAGGTCAACAGCAGTTTTGTGAGACTGAGATTATTGATTGAAGATCGAGCTGGTTTCGATGTACTACTGTTATGACGTGACAGTGCGCGAGTCATTAAAATGTTATTTTCTCACAATAAAAGACTTTTGACATTTCTCCTTCGTGTTTACAGTAACTTATTCTGTTGTTGTTCACGCCCTTTAGTTTCAGAGAGGTGGTATGCTGATGGAGAACTTCTAAAGGCTACTTTGGTGGCTAACTTTAGCAGATAGTCCACAGTATCTGCAGCTAGCTGGCTCTGGTTTCAAAGTGCTCTCGTGACTGTTTTTTAGTTACTTCCAAATTATTACCTTTCATTTCCGGAGCTGTCTGCATCTGATCGTTGTGCTCCAACACAATTCGCTTGCCACACTGCAACTTCTACGCCAGCTAGCAAGCAGGGACAAGACCAGAGAGAAGTAACGTTACTTCTTCTTGCTAGTCATGACGTTAGGTTACCGGAAGTAGGAATTCTGGGATATGAAGTCCAGAGAAATGTTACGGAGCAGTCATACAGTCTGTGGGAGCAGTAAACAGACATATTTGAGTAAAATAACACACAAGTTAATTTTGAAATATTTGTAGATTAGTCTGGTTGCTTAATGTTGCATATTATATTGTAACGTCAGCAGAGTTTGTTATTTGATCTCGATGGTGCATTTATAGCACGTAGGATATCAGACAACCATGTTTGCTACTTTTTAAGATACTCCAAGTAGGAAAATAGACCCTTGGTGTAAAAAGAAAGTAACCAAAACATCAGTAAAAGTGATATTTTTCATAAAAAAATAATTTATAGGAAAAAAGTGGTAGGTGATTAGTTTATTTGTTGGAGCCTGATAGATTTTAGCTTCTCCTGTCTTATTAAATTATTAACAATTATTAAATTGAATACACCCAAAGAATACGAGTAACACCTGAATGCAGCGTAAAGGGGCGTGGCTTACGTTTGAACGTACAGCGCGGAAATGGGCCAGTCGTCATTGTGTTTGTGTTGAATAAGCCTGATAACGTTAAGTTCAGCTCGACTAAAATGTCGTTTCCCACACATTAGGGATGCGTGAATCCATTACAAAAGACTAGGCAGTAACTTAACGTCTTCCTTTTTGTTTTGTTGTAAGTATGGTGACTGATAAGGCAGCCAACGTTTACCAAAGCTAGCTAACGTTAGCAGGGCCAGTAACGCGTCAATGTTAGCTGACAACAGCTAACGTCAGCATTCACAGCACAGCTTTAGCAAGGCAGAATACTATTTGCATGTCAAGTAATACGGTTTTTGCACACTGTTCATCATAACAGGGTGATCCGCGTGGCAGCAAGATGCCTATCCGAGCATATTGCACGATTTGCTCCGATTTCTTCGATCACTCCAAAGATGTTGCTGCCATCCACTGCGGACACACGTTCCACTATGAATGGTAATCTGATACAGAGTGTCAAAACCTTCAGCACTCACATTTCTGACACGTTATAAATGTCTGATTGTTTCATTTTCTCCTCTCTTTTCTCAGTCTTCTCCAGTGGTTTCAGACAGCCCCCACGAAAACCTGTCCACAGTGTAGAAAACAGGTACAGTACGTTACTGAAGACTAAACTTGCCAAACAGAAGAAAGACGTCAACTTAAATACTGTTGTGCCTCCATGTATGTGCAGGTCAGCACCAGACACATTATCAACAAGCTGTACTTCGACATTGGTGAAGAGCAGGAGGGCACAAAGGACCCCGAAAGCTTGCAGGTACCACACTTGGAGCGTCTATTGTTTGAGTGAGGTTTTCTTTACAGAGAATCTTGTACTTGATGGTCCTTGTCATCAAGATTTGATTTAATGTCTCGTATTCTTTTGTGATTGTGTTTTTCCCCCCTAACTTAGAATGAGCTTGATCGAATGAAGGCGCTTTTAAACACCAAAGGTGAGAAACCTCACTATGTAGTGATCCGATTTGATTGTTGAAAGCAGCAGACGGCAGTGATTCATCGTCCTATTTGATCGATTTGCAGAGCGAGACTGGCGGGACAAGCAGAAGACGGTTGACAATTTGAAAGTCACTGTGGACAAGCAGAGGACAGACCTGGACAGTGTGCGGAAAGAGATTATGGAGAAAGAGATGCTCTGTTCCACCCTCAGAGTAAGCTGTCTGTTCTCTATTGTTTCAACCCATTTATTTTCTTATACTGACTTATATTGTCTCTGCAGATTGTTTTTGTTTATCTGTTTAATTGTTTTTTGACAGAAACAGATGACGTACCTTGAGAAGCAACAGAATGAAATGCAGGCCGCCAAGGACGAAGCCCGCAGACTCAGGACCAGAGTGAAAGCCTTTGAGAGGTATCTGCATTCATACAAATACTGGCTGTAAAGTTGACTCACACTATATTTACCACAAGATTAGCTGTTCTGCATGTGTGGACAAAATGTCGATGCTCTTAAATATTTCAATATCACATACTATAAATGATAAATGTGTGATTAAATCATTATTAGTAGTTTGGATATACAAGCAAGAAATAATTCATTGCTTATTTCCCTCAGGACAGTCGGGTATCAGAGTTCTTAATATGTTTTCTATTATGACAATATTCATGATTTATCAAACTCTGCTTAGTAAACTGTCTTGTTTCTTTGTAAAATAAAGTCATACTCACCCTGTGCACTAATACTGGTGGTTTGTCCCAGCCTGGATGTGTTGCTGCAGGGCCAGAGAGCAGAGGTGGAGTCCATGATCACAGATATGGGGGTCAGCCAGGCGGCAGTGGAGCAGCTCTCCATCTACTGCATCTCGCTCAAAAAGTAAGGAGCCCAAGAGCAGCTGATCAGTGTGACGGACACCACATCGTTTAGAGGTTCAGTCCGAATAAACACAACTTGCCAGTGTTCACTCACTAAACATTCATCTCCCCCCTTTCCTTTTTTTTAAAGAGAGTACGATAATCTCAAAGGAAGCCTGAAGTCTACACATGACATGTGTGAAAAGCTGAAGAGAGAAGTGCTCACGTCAAACAACAAGGTAACGCTGTTAGTAAGTCAACACACCTGGAGGAAGCCATTCTTGAATGCGGAATCTCTCTAAATCAAAGTGTTTTTGTTTTTGTTTTTTAATGTTTTAGTTACACAAAGCCACAGTGGAGGTGAATCAGACCAAAGAGGACATGAAATCTCTGCAGAACGATTTGGCCAATGCTGACAAGGAGATCTCTGTAAGGCAAATCCGCCAAATATGCCTTTTTATTTTCAGTATCGGAGAAAGTCGTGGTTGTGATTCCTGCATGTGTGTCTGTCCACAGAGTCTTAAGAAGAAAGTGGAGTTCCTTCAGAGGACTCTGAGCACCCCGACGCGGACAAATGAAGCACTCAGTCGGCTCGTCTTTGAAAGGTGAGTAACACTCAGCCCACTGGACTGACGTCTCCACGCGCTGCGACATAAACTATCTGTGATTTACTGATGAGTGTTCTGAATCCATATTCTCAGCCCGGCCCCAGTGGAGCTGAAGCAGCCTCGCCTCCACCATCCTGCAGACAGCCAGGACATTGACCTCAACATGACATACGACGTCACTACGCCAGATGATCTGGCCAAGAGACGGACGCAGTTCCAATCCAAGAAGATGCGGCTTGATCCTCAGGCGTAAGTTTAATGTAGCTCATTGTGGGAATGTGTGTTCTGTTTCGATTGTGGAAGCTGCTGCTGTGTGAGCCGTGTGTTCATAATACAGTTTAATCTGTGTTGTTGTATACTAGAGAATTAAGTAGTAATGCTTTCAAATGTTTTAAGTAAAATGCTTTATTTTTCAGGTCGTCTGAGTCCAAACAATACGAGAAAAGTTCATCTGTAAGCAAGGTAGCTTTGTTAATGTCACTCAACAAGGTTCATTTTTAAATGTGTTGCACATGTCTGACATTAGTTTTTCTTGCCTCAGGCTCGAGACGAGGATGGACCCCTGGATCCTTTTTTGAGGAACTCCCTCCTCTTCAGAAAGAAGGCTTTCGGTAGCATGTTAGACCCTCAGAGGAAGCTTGGAGCTGTACGTACTGCATAACTATCTCCTGCATTTCAGATCCAATGTTTTTATGTGTCCTTTGTCCTTTTTAGTGGTTTAATGAAAGAAAGTGTTTCTCGTTTCAGGTGAGAACTGGTTATGATGGTTTAGGAGGACGTACTAAATTCATCCAACCTGTATCCTTTTATTTCTGTCATGGGGAATGTATGTGTCAATCAAGTGTTTATTCATTTTAACTTAATCATTCATTTGATTGTGTTTGGACTAGCTAAAGCAAACTACTAAACTAAATAAACCTACTGCACGCAACCTGCCCAGCACCAGACAGACACAATAAGCGTCTCGCTAGTGAACATAGCCAGATATAAAAATATTCGTCAGATGGCCATAAACATGACTAATGCTAATGTTGCATCATTCCTTAACTAAGCGCTCCAGTCTCCGTTATCAGAGATTCGCCCGCTGATGAAAGCTAAGAGGAAAAAGGTAACCAGGCCTCAGCCCAAGATTGCAACTTGCCTGACTCTGGACGGCTTCCTCGAGTAACGGATGACCTCTCCTCCCCCCGGATGTGGAGTCTACGGTCAGGATGCTGCAGCTGCTGTGGGATGGACCATGTTGGTGCCGCTCTGGCACACAGAACCAGCCTGGCAGCGGTTCTGCCACTCGGCACCAAACGGGACTCTCTGATCGAAGCTTAATTCAAAAGCAGTCACTGACCTCCCGCATGACAACGGATGCTGAGCTTTCGAGGACATCAGCAAATCTGCTGTACATTTTTTTTGTTGACTTGAATGTGGAGACTGTGTCTCGACCAGCTTTGCGTCGGAGCCTTTTCTTCTTGTTATGTTGGTGTCTGTATGTGTGTGAGACAAACCGACTTCTTTAGGAAGCATTCTAATGTCACGCTCTGTATTATGTCATTGATAGTCACTGATATCATCTGTTCTCTATACTTGCACTTATTTAAAATCCATCCAACATGTGGATATACCTGAGGTATTTTTTAGTTTTACTGGTCCTGCCAGATGTAAACCAACTGAAATAATAAACAATATTTTTTTTTATTAAGGATTGTGTGGGGTCTACAAACAATTCCCTCTTGACTGTCGTTTTGTTGCCTCAACCAAACTTAGTAGTTTTGTTGCCTCAACCTAACTATAATGTTTTGTGTAAAGACAGAAATTTATTTTGAAAAGACTGTATTCTTGTAACGAGCAGCAATTGACACGTGTTGCTTGACTTTCATACGACAACACACGAAAAATGAGGACTAACTTTTTTGTAAGACCGGGTCTGGGATTGGGGGGGTCAAACTAAATCTCTGTGAAAACCATAACGTTGTAGTTCTTAGTGTCACATTGAGAAGTTCATCCAGTTTATTCACTATCAGAACCAGCTGCACTGGTAAACATAGAAGGGGTGCTTTAGCTCTGTACCCAGACATGTCTGGATGTTATGAACATAAAGTCTAACTTGTATTCAATTTGCATTAGTTATAACATAACTGAAGTGCATCTTCATCGTGATATCAAAGTACTAAAAAAAACACTTTCCGTGTGCAGCAGAAGAGTGTTCGTCTTTGTTTGCTCTGTTTATTTGAATGTGTGCAGTTGAAATGACTCATTAGACATTCAACACGCAACACGTACAGTAACTCGGTTGACTTCATGTAAATTGGTCAGAGGAAAATTCAAAGATACAGGAGTGAAACTAGAAAATATAGAAATCAAAATAATCATTTGAATATGTTTCTGTATTTATAGTTGCCCCATCACACACACAGAGACACACACACCTAACAAAGATACATGTACAAGTACTACAGTAACTAGTCGGCTCAGGCATTCTGCAGAAACAGTTTCGTCAGTTTATATATATTTATATTTTATAATCAGTTTTCCTCAAGGATAGAAATATCTTAATTCTACAGTTAATGTATTTTTATATTCTTAAACACATTTCGGGTGAAAATTCTGTCCCAGTTAATTGAAAAAATAAAAGGTCTTTTGGATAAAGCTCCTTCATTCAGGAACGCTCGTCATAGATTGTTTAACCATTTATTGCAACGAATGGAAATACAGTTAAACTTGAAACACTCTTTGAATGCTCCCCAGATTAGCCAGCAGCTACCGCGCCAAAACGGGGAGCACCGAGCATCAACCCCCAAAACAACGGAACCCAACGCCAAGTCTGGTATAACGCCCATGCTAAGCATCAGCTGGACGATGGAAAAGCTATGTGTAACAGTGAGCATGCTGCAGAACTCAGTAGACGTTATTTTAAGATTAAGGGCGCAAGCATGCATCCTAAACGAGGCCATCCTACAGTTATGTGAACTATCTATGTGTAGCAGCAAGACTGCTGCAGACCTCAGCAAACATTATGTTAATGTGGCGAGACGAAGGTGGGATGTGGTTTAAAGTTTACGTGGACATTAACCAATAGTCAGAGCACAACAACGCCACCTTAGGAATTTCACCTAAAGATTAAGTTTTGCACACACAGTATCAAGGATTAATAGGACACTCAGGTTCATTATACAGATTAGCATGAGACATGGTTCCAATACAAAAACAATCTTTATTATTACACAACAGTGGTTCACAGATAAGGTTAAGTGAGCTAAGCTGTCCATTTTAAGGGTGAGCATTTCTGTTTTCCTTTTGTGCCCCATTCCAGGTTTAGTGTATCTGAGTTTTCTAAATAAGTGTGAGAAGAAAAAACATCCAGGAACATCTTTGCTGGTCTTTCAATCCACAGTCAAAGTGTGGGAGGGGTGGTGGTGGGGGGGCAATCCAGCCAAAACTAACGTAAATGCTGATATTTTCCCATCAGCCGTCTCAGTGTGGGCTTGTGACATTAGGGGAAGAAAACACGGATCCAGCTACATTTTTTTTCACTGTGATCTGTCCGGCACGATCTTGGACTCCCCGTTATGCTTGTCGTTGGACTTCTGGGACAGGTGCGTGGACACGGTGGCCGCCTGCACCACGGCTTTGAAGCTGCGCTTCCTCTTCTGGACGTTCTGCTCCGGGTGGCAGATGATGACGTAGACCTTGGGGATGTAGAGCATGCCCAGGGACACGGTGGCGCTCAGGCTCATGGACACTGTCAGGGTGGTGGTCTGGATGAACATCTGCAACAGAGACATGGCAGGTCAGAAAGATCTACACACACACACACACACACACACACCTGTGTTCACAAAATCAATTAATTTTGTCTAATTTCTTAGGAATGATTCAGTATCCGCCTGTGTGTATTTAATACTTGATTATATCATCTTGCACAAGTTCAAGAAAATGCACTCTGTCATCTCATAGGTTGCAGTCTTCATAATGTTCTTGTCAAAGCACAGCAGGCAGTCTCTTTTCCCTGATGAATGATTTATGGGATATGTAGTCAGGAAAGGAGGCTCTATTTATGGGCTTTCTTTGACCATGTCTTCTCCTCACTGCTCTTCCTCTTATTTCAAATCCAACAGTAATAATGAGAAGTAACTTCTCCTCGGGTCGTACTCCAATAAATTATGAACTCATTATTCAAGCAAACTGTATAAGTCATAAATAAATAAAGACACATGTGCCATAAATAAGATATATCTGTGCCATAAATAAGTCAGAAATTGTACACTATCCTCATGCAGCAGCAGAACATCCTGCTTTGTCGCAGGCGGATGCTCAAACAGTATGGCTTCTTTTATCATCTCTGTCGTGCTTTTCGTCGCTTTCTCACGGTGACCTCTCTCCATTTGTGCAAGGAACTGTTGTGAATGTGCTCATGTGCTCGGCCCGAGGCGAGACCGGCCCGGGTGACAGTGAATGGTTGTTGCGTATGTAACTACAGACATCAAGCAGGTAAATCCCCTCCTCTTACACGAGGTCGTACACATGACGGGAGAATAACAGCCACCATTTTCACCAGCCATACAAAAGTTAGTGTCTATATTTAGCTCTTTTTTTCTAAGTGATGATTAATTGAGCCGGATGGTTGAATTGGTCTACGAGGGGTCCCTACCATCCCTCAGCTCATCTGACCTCCTTTCCTTCCCTCGCTGCCTTTTCTTAATTCACTTCATTTCCATTCGGGAGGAGGTGAAAAGACTGAAAGCACCTCGGGCTTTAATTGTTTCAGCCTGACTGATTCATAATACTGCTCTCTATTAGTCAAAGCCTATCTCTGTTTTTCAAATATTCCCCCCCCAACAGCCTCGTACTTTGTGGTGACAGAAGTAGCCCACAAGCTAAATTAAACTCTCCGCAGGAAGCAAACGTAACGTGACAGGCAACAAACTCAGATTTCACTTTAAACATCTGAGGGATTCATTTAATCTCTTAACTATTAGTGCGTGTTACAGTTGCATAATTTTGATTCAAAGTTTGATTGAAATTACTGACAATAATATGAAGTCTCCACAGTAAAGAGCCTTCAGGGAAACGTGAATTTCCTCACGAGGGATTAATAAAGCGCTTCTTCTTGAATATGACTAATAAAATGATTGTACTGATGTTAATTTGATAACTAGTTGTATAACAAAATGAGGGACTAAACTTGACAAAATAATCTATTAACCGATTAATTAATAGATTATACCATAAAGCTAATAGTTATGTCATTAGTAATTGGACATTAGGCAGAATGAATAATAATTAATTTCTACCTTCTTTAAAGTTGTTTAGGCAGATGCATGAGGTAACATTACCAAAACAATGAGGTGATGAATGAAAAATGAGAACTTTCTCAAAACAGTCCGGCAAAACATTTCCTGTTTGCGAGTCATTCAAGGAAATGAGTCTTTTAAAACACCTTAAGCTTTGGGAATCGTTTTTCTCACAAATTTTCTGCCATTTTATATTCAAAGCAGCAATATACAACGTTCAGAGAAATAATACAGCAGCAAACAACGATTAACTGTGTAAAGACTTCGTGAAGCATTGTCTACCTGAGCAGAAAATGAAGTCACAGATTACGAATTGTTCCTCTCTTGATTTATATATAATGCTTGCGGTCTAGACGGAGAAGGTTAGACAATTGCTGTTAGCAGGAAAAATACTTGAAGTATGTAACATTTAAATTATCATAGATAGGCCAACATTAAATGTTATTATTATGGAATATTTATGACTGATACAGTCATGTGGTAAGCAACGTTTGACAGTTTAGCTGGTTGAGGTGGAGCCAATTTTAACTACTTAGTATGCTGTTGGTAGTTCAGTCTGTAAATACATCTAGAAGTTGACCATTTTTTGTATGCAAAATATGGATCTTTAAGATAACTGGTAATTTCCCTCTAAAATGTAGTCGAGTAGAAGCATAAAGGGGGATAAAAGTATTCAAGTAAAGTACAAGTACCTCCAATCCCAGGAGAAGTGAACTAAAAACATGTTAAATTGCCCACCTTCTCCGTAGACTGCGCTGTGCCAAAGAAGATTGGCACAAAGGCCAGCCAGACGATGCAGGTCGTGTACATGGTGAAGCCGATGGGTTTGGCCTCGTTGAAGGTCTCGGGAACTCCTCTGCTCTTGATGGCGTACACGGTGCAGGTGATCATCAGTAGGATACTGTAGCTCAGACACAAGATGAGGGACAGGTCGGACATGTCGCACTTGAGGACTCCGCGGGCCAACTCTGGGTTTGGGGGCTTCTGCTCCTCGTAGTCGATGATGGTGTGGGGGGGCATCACACCAAACCAGATGAACACCCCGAGTAACTGCAAGGAAAGGAGTGCGAGTCAGTGTGCTGCAAAGAATCATAGGTGGTGTGTGTGTGTGTGTGTGAAAGAAGCATCCCCATGCATACCTGCACCCCGATGAGTATAAAGGTGATGATCAGCTGAGAGCCGGGACTGATGAATTTCGGGGGCGAGACCGACTTCTTGCCCTGTTCGAAGATACGGTAGATCCGGTTGGTCTTGGTGAGCATGGCAGAGTAGCTGATGCACATGCCGAGGCCCAGCAGCAGCCTACGGAAGGCGCACACGGCCGTGCTGGGCTCGGCTATCATGAGGAAGGTGATGAGGTAGATGAGGAAGATGCCCGTCAGCAACACGTAGCTGAGCTCTCTGCCGGAGGCCCGAACGATGGGTG